AATGCGTGTGTGTCTATTTGTACTTACCTCCACCTTCTGCAGCACTTTGTCCAGTCCGGTGATTGTTAAATCTTGTTCTTTCAATTCAGTCGCCTCCAGCGTTTCCGGTGTAACACGCACGCCCGGCACAAATTTCAATGACATAACATCCGATAAACCATTTGGCAGCTGAGCCTGCAAACCGAACAGCAACAACAACAACAAAAATTTAAGGGAAGAACTCATAAATACTATGGGCACTACATGATTGTCACAAAGTAACAAGAGCAACAACAACAACAACAACAACAACAACAACAATAAAAGTGTGAAAAACCGCACCTCCAAATCGAAGTGGACATCATTAGTCTTCACAAGGCTAAGCACTTCATTGAAATCCGACGACAGTTCAATCTGACACGCATAGCGTCCGGTGTCGGCCTCAAAAATGGGCGTTACCACATAATGTTCGAGTAGCTGTTGGCCCAAGGACTTCTTCGATGTTAGGCGACACTTGAATAGCTTCACCGCGGGTATGCGTTCAAGGGCACTTGAACATTTCGAAATATTTCTGGCGAGCTAACGAGGTGGCAAAACGACACCGGAAGAATAGGAAGAAAAAGAAAATAAAAATAAAATGCAAAAAAAAACATAAATAACTAAATAAATGTGGAGATATAAGCAAGCAAAAAAGATGAAAAAGTTACTTCCTTAATATTTTTTTACAAGCACAAGCGAATTTAAATTGCACAAAAATGTTACAGCAAAAGTTACTTTACAAAAGTATGTAAATGCGCTCATTGCGAATCAATGCGCTGAGTGGCTGTACTGGCGGGCACAACTAAACTTGCATTGATGCTTATTTACTACATATGTACATATGTATGTATGTATGCATATGTATAAACTATTATTGGGGTTCACTTACCAAGTTGGTAAACTTATCCACTTGCAAATGATTGCGCACAACCAAATGTCCTCGATACGTTGAACCGCTAAATATATCGAAAGATTTCAATAATTGAATCTGCAAAGTATACAAACAAACGAAAAAGTTAACGTAAAAGTTTACAACAAGTGCCGCACTATATCACACGTACATACATCTGTATGTATGTAGGTATGTAAGTGTATGTATGCTGGTAAAAGGACATACATACATAAATGAAAAATTTCCAATGAACGAAATATTTTAACTAAACATTGCATTGGCGGAGCAAACGGGCTGACTGACGGACGAAGGGACGAAGGGACGAAGGACGGTCGGTCGATTGATCGCTAAAGTATGCCGCAAATCCGCACAACTCAAATAGACATTTGCAAAGTGCATATTTTTTCAGATTTTTCCCCATTTTCTCATTTTTCCAGACTACTGAATTTCTTTCAACTTTTGCGAGTGCTACTTACCACATCCGCATCACGAACTTCGACATCGTATTTTATGGTACTGCCACTTGCTTTATCGCCGTTGGTAACTACAATTTTTTCGCCCAATTTCAAGCGATTGCCCAGCACTTGCGCTACTCCTGGAATAAAAATTATAGGAGAATGAGTAAGATTGAGCGCATGTACATATATACATATGCATAAGTATGTAAGTATGCATGTTTGTGTGAAAAAATAAGAACTTTGAATATTGTTGAGAATTAAAGTTTGATTGCTTATTATAGTTATTTGTTTGCCATTAGTTAGTTGTTCTTAGTTGGCCTCAAAACAAAGATTGTACAGTGACTATGTAATGCACAGAAATTATTTTTTCAAGCTTAACTCGATTGAAATTTAAGATTTTATGCTTTTTAAATTTAAAGACTTAAAATTTTTCGAAATATCCTTATTAACGTCTGATGTCATGGGTATTTAAAATTGTACATTTACTATCTTTAGAGTAGAATGTCGACGGTCCGTGCGATACCGATTAGGCTCAAAATATTAATATAATTAATATATTAATAGTCGATAACTATTACCAAGTCGATACAGAATCGATAACTATTACATATTCGATGGATATTACAATGCAATAACTATTACAAAGTCAATAATTATTACAAAGTCGATAACTATCACAAAGTCGATAACTATTACCAAGTCAATAGCTATTACAAAGTCGATAAATCACATAAAGACAATAACTATTACAAATTCGATAACTATTACAAAGTCGATATCTATTACGAAGTCGATTACTATTACCAAGTCGATAACTATTACCAAGTCGATAGCTATTACAAAGTCGATAACTATTACAAAGTCTTTGATTGATCGAAGAATTCTCAAAGGTTGCAACCGTAACTGGCTTTTAATCTCGATCCTCTCGAAGATGCTAGTTGAAAGGCTGTTTTCAAAGCAAATTGGACTATTATGGGCGAGATGGTGAAGGCTACTACTACTGTTTAACCTTTGCATCGGTAAGGGAAGGCAGCTAAGAAAGAAATTGATGACATGATTCCACCTTATACTTGGATCGTATTTCTCAGATATAAGTACACACGTTCTCAAAGAAACTACTTCCTTTAACCCTTCTGAGTCACAGAACCTTTTTTTTATATATATTCAGACGCGAGCGAGATAATTCATATCATCCCACTTCGATCCATTCGAGAAAATATTAATATTGCCTCTGCGCCAGGAGCTACTCTTTTTCCACTTATCTCTTGTAGGGCGAAGTGGGTGGAGAAAGATTCGAATTATTCATTGGGACAAAACCTTCCATTCATTTAAGTACGAAGTCGAGGCTACCAAGGATTTTCCAAGACCTACTCGCAAGCTCTGTTGGATGAAACCGCCTTGCCAGCGACAATTTGGTCGCGAGGTGACGAGCAACCGCGAGTTGGCTCAATGGTTGCAGTAAGAGCAGTTGCTTTAGCAGAACAACTGATGCTTTCTCTAATCGAACATAAGGATCTGGCCTACAAGGGAGATTTCCATTCGGTGTTAAGTCTTTCTCATACATACATCCCTTTTCAAAAACAAGAACACAATCTATTAACCTGCATTCATATGTAAATAAATATGTATGTACATGTGTATATCGCCTAGAGATTTCCGTTTGCTCAAGTTTAATGCGTATAAATATCGCTCGCAGCTCTTCGTAATTATTTATTATTTAGTGAATCCCAATCTGTTCAATGAACAACAGTTGGCAGGTAATTAATGATTGCATATGTATGTGCACTAAATGTGAATGTTCACCTAATCCACATATTACAATTCTTATGTGTGCGTGTGAAAACCTAATTGAGTAAATTTCTGCCAGAATTACTTATTTAGCTGTTGTTACTTTTGCACAAAATGGGGCTTTGTAGTTATACACTTTCAGTTATAGTTACAAACTATACTATTGTATGTATGTACAGTGACGGGCAAAACTGTAGCATGGTGTAACACTTTCTACTTCAGCCATCGCTATCTTTCCAAGTTCTAACGACTTTCATACTTTTGTAGTATATTCTTGTTGGTACATCCCTACTCCCTCTCTCATAATGATTTGAAGTCAATACAACAACAATAAAAATACCAGCAAACAAAAATGTAAATTAAGGCAGATGTTACAGTTTTGCACTCATATATTTTTAAGAACTTTTTAACAATTTTCACGAATAAAAAGAACTAATAACACAATGTTCAGTACTCTTTTGCTTGTTTCATTTCCTGGATGCGATTTGGCATACCTTATTTGTATCTTTGTAAAAATTCTGGAGGTATATCCTTAGTTTACTTTCGCAGCTCATGTACTCGATTTTACGGACTTTGATACTTATTAAGCTGTGCTTTTAGTTGATTTCGCAAATTCTCGATGAGATTCATGTCCGCGGATTGTGGAGGTCATTTCAAAATAGAAAATTTTTTGCTTTTGCATCCAGTCTTTGCGAACAGTTTCAGTATGTTTTGGGTGATTTTTCAGCAGAAACTCTCATTTNAAAATTTTTTGCTTTTGCATCCAGTCTTTGCGAACAGTTTCAGTATGTTTTGGGTGATTTTTCAGCAGAAACTCTCATTTTTCGACT